TATGCCCTGGTGTTGATGGAGCGGCCAGCCCTGCCCTCAAATGGGTACTGTGGTAGAGCAGAAACGAAGACTGCCCATACCACAGCATGAGCAACCTTCATGCACACAAATTCAGTCTTTTCCCTCTGATTCTGGCCAAGGGCCACGTAGCTTTAAGATGTCACGATACACTGTTTTCAGGCCTGATGGGTAATAAGGCCAAACCCAAGGGGGAAAAGGTCACTGACTTCTGTTGTGGGTTTTAAGGGTGATGTAACCTGAGAATTTCTTGAAGCTCAGCTGATTTTCGATCCTGTGGATGGAAGTGCAGGCCAGAGCAGCTATTCTCAGCTTCTTTAGGAAGCTGACAAACTCAGGCCACTGCCCCTGAGACTAATTCAGAAGGTGACCTTGCTCAGAAGCTTTAAGAACACTTGGGGAACCACTGGCACCAAGGAAAGAGCTGAGCTGTACTTAAGGGTGACCTGCCCAGAGACAAGTGACTTCCGGAAGCTTCAGGTCCCTCTGTGTAGGACAGGGCCTCAAAGGTTTGATCTGCAGGGCTGCTGGGAAGATGGAGGATAACGGATAAGCCACCCCTGGCAGTAGCAAGCCAGCCTTGAGCCTGTGTTGGAGGGCAAGGTACCAGTCCAGCCCCCCAAGAGCTAGCATGGAAAGTGTGAAGCTCTTTTCGGCCCTGCTCAGGTTTCTGTGCACGTCTGTGTCAACCTAAGCAAGCCCCACACCTTGGCCCCTGCAAGACAGTCAGCTGCAACTGCTCTTAAACATACTTTGGTCTCTTGTCCTGGAAATTCCTTCTTCCATCCCATTTCCCAATCCTGGAATTCCTGATTCTCCCAATTTAAAATCTTCCGTCTTATAAACCCCAGTATGGATTTGTAGCTTGGAACTCTGCATGCAATATAGCTGGGAGCTTTCAATCTGTAACTCCTCCCACTTGCTGGTCTGGGATACTCTCAAAGGAAGAGGCTACTTCATTCTTACTGTATTCACTGTTTGTGCTCCAAAATAAAGAAGGGCTCCAGTGACCCTGCCCTGGAGTTCTCCCCATGAAAGCACCCTGTTCTCTCTCACAGCCTTCACTCACTTGGGTTCAAGGATTGATCCAGGGATGGGCAATGGATTCCAATTGGCCCTAGCAGTCCTGAGTCTTTCAGGCTGAAAGCACAGGGTTGGCATAATGGCAGCCATGGTCTCCAGTCTGAGGGAGGACATTTCTGTGATGGAGGAGGAGGTGTAGAGTGGCAGAGTGGAGTCTCGGACAGAGAAAGCCCACCTGGCATTAGAGTCTGCCCCTGTAGTTCCTCCAGAGGCTCAACTGCACCCCTGTCTGCTGAGTATCTGGCTGTTCCACCCTTCTTTGCAAGCCACAAGCATACAGATGCCCCTTCAAGCCTGAGCTGGTTTCAGTTGTGTGCTGTCAGTGGCAACCCAAAGGCTCCTACTGCACTGATCTCGGCATTCTTCCCACAATTCCGCTAGCTTGGAAACTCATGAGATGAAACAGGTAAGAGCATAGAGTACAATGCGGACTGCCTGGTGCTAAAGGTCCACTCCAACAACTCTCAATGATGTGATCAAGGCCAAGACACTTACCTCTTAGCCTCAGTTTCCCCCTTTGTGAAGCATGGAACACAGAGGTACCCAACCCCTAATGGTTTCTGTAGGGTTTAAATAAGTTCACATTTGCAAGTCTCTTGACACAATGCCAGTTACTCCCAAAGCATTTTCTATTACCATATGGATGTGGGAATGGGGAGACTGAAAAACCACCACCCTCAACTTCCTGCCTCCCCCTTCCCTCACCATAATGTGTTTGGTGTCTGGGTAATGACTAAATTGTTGGAAATCACCGGTTTAAAAGATGTCTTCTTAGGTGGACTGGGGACTCACAAAGACAAGGGCCATGTTTGTCTTGCTCCCTGGTTTTACCCCCAGGTCTGGCTAGCTTGGAGACTGGTCCATAAAAGGTGCCCAATAACTATTTCTGGACAAATTGATAATGTGTCATCTTGTTAGAAATTGGTTGTTAAACACGAATGTTACCAAAACTGGCATCTTTTGGCAGCAGAATTAGAAAAGAAAAGGCTTGAGGCCGGGCACAGTAACGCATGCCTGTAATCCCACCAGTGAGGAAGTCTGAGGCAAGAGGATCAGAAGTTCATGTTCATGTTCGTGTTCTTGGCGGCTTACCAAGACACCGTGTTAAAATAAAATAAAAAGAAAAAAGGCCTGGGGGTGTAACTCAGCGGTAGAGTACCCCTGGGCTTGATCCCTAGTATGTCCAAGGAAAAAAGGCTTAATTTCTAGGATAACCCATTCAGAGCTAAAGTTAATTCTTTTGATGTAGCCAGTTATGTTACTCAGAAATTACTAGAGTTTCCTCATTTTAAAATTAGTCAACAGAATGAAAACATAACATGCCAAAACTTGATACATTGAAAGCAGTAAGAGGAAAATTCATAGCCATAAACAGATAAATAAAATGAAAGCAAATTAAAAAGACGGAAAAAACGTCATCAAAGCAAAAACAAAGTAAAGCGCAAAGATAGAATTATAAAGATAAACTCATAAGTTGATGAAATAGAGAACTGCAAGACAATAGGTTTATGGAATTAAAGTTCTGGGTTTTAGAAAAATTAACAGAATAGACAAGCCACTAACTAACTCAGTCAAGGAAAGAGGGGAAAAACCCAAATATAAACTGGGGAGATAGCTATTAAAAAGTGAAAATTTAAAAAATTCATGAGACTAGTTTGCAATTAGTTACGTAAATAAATCTGAAAGTGTAAATGAAATGGATAATTACCTAGAAAAGGATCGTTTACCAAAATGATTTCATTAGAGATAGAAAGCGTTAACAGATCACTCTTAGAATAAAGAGAAAACTTGAAAGGAATTTCCTACAACAAAAGCACCAGGCCTACCAGATTTCACAGGCGGTATAAACTTTCAAACACCAGGTGGTTTCAATGCTACATAAATTCCTCTGGTGCGTGAGAAATAAAGGTAAACTTCCAAATTATTTTTCTGAAGCAAATACAACACCGGTACCTAAACAAGCGTCACATACAAATACTAGTAAACAAAATCAGCATCTGCTGTGCTTTCAATGTCTCCCCTAAAAAGCTTGCGCTGGAAACTTAATACTCAGTGCAACCATGCTGAAGACTCGGGTCTAAGGAGAGGCAGAGGCTCTGCCTTCATGAATGGGGTGATGGGCTCATCATGTGTAAGAAGGTTCGGCACAGAAGGCTAAGTGCAGGCCCCCTTCCTTCTCCCTCTTGCGCCCTTCTGTCTTCTGCCATGGACTCACACACCAAAGGCCCTCACCACATGCCAGCTCCCTGACCTTGGACTTCCCAGCCTCCACAATCGTGAGAAATACTTTTCTTTATACTTCACTCAGTTTCTGGTGTTCTATTATAGCAGCACAAGATAGACTTAGACATCATCATGTTAGGAAAATAATTCAATAAGACTAAGGGGGATTTATTCTAGCAATGCAAGGTTGATTCAATATTATAATAAAATATATTGTATTAAGAATCATCTGATAGTCTCCAATGATGCTGAAAAAACCTTTGCTAAAATCCAACATTTATTTCTAATTTTAAAAACTCAGGAAACTAGAAATTGATGGATACTTCCTTACCATGAAAAAATATAAGCTTTAGTTCCAAAGCCAGCATCTATTAAAAGACGACGCGGACAGCCTATCCACTAAGATCAGAAACAAACTCATTCAGATGCTCATTGTCCCTGCTACTATTCACTATTGCACTAGAGGATGAGCCAATGCAATTAGACAGGAATAATTGATTAGTGACACAGAATTGGAAAATATAAAGTAAAACTATTTCTATTTATAAATGATATAGTAGTATACCTGGAAAATCAGAATCAATGCTCAAACTCAAGCAATAAATGAATTAGGCAGGCTAGCAGGATATGAAATTAACATAGAGAAATCAATCGTCTCTATACACAAAAATAAATCAAAAGGTGTAACAGTGAGTAAATACTCATTTACAGTAGTAATAATGAAAATGCTTAGATATAAACTTAATAAGAAATGTGCAAAATGTATAGGAGGAGCACTTTTTTGGGGGGGTACCGGGGATCGAACTTGGGTCCTTGTGCTTGCAAGGCAGGCAGCAGAACCACTGGGCTAAATCTCCAGCCCCATGGGGAGCACTTTTAAAAGGCCTGAAACATATACAAGTAGACATGAATGAATGGAAAGATAGTCCTTGTTCTTGGGTAGAATAACTCAACATTAGAAAGATGCCTAAAATGTATTTATAAATAATTTAATAAAAATACCAGCAAATTCTTCATAGAATTAGATAGTTTGATATAAAGACCATGTAGGAAAGTAAGTATGAAAGTATCTGGAAACCTTGATATTTTAGGGAAAAAAAAGGACCATGAGGGAGGAGTGTCTAGTTCTCCCTCACATTAAATCATTCTACCAAATCTCTGTCACTAAAAATGTGAAATACTTGCAAATGAATAGACAGAGTTTAATAGAATAGAGCAGAAATCCAGAAATATACTCAAGCACATACAAAAATTTAAATCACTGATGCATAGATGGGATCTTAATGAAATGGTGGCAGACAACTGAGAGATCTATTTGGAAAAAAAGATAACATTAGATCCATACCTCATACAAGCTACAAAAATAAGCTCCAAATTTGGAAAAGAAAAAAAAAAGAATTCCTCTATTTATTTGGTAAACAGAAAGAGCACAATAAAAATAAAGGCTTTATAATTATTCCATATAAACATTAAAAATTTTTGCATGGTCAAAAATAATTGGTCATTTTTTTAAAAAGTACATATCCAAGAAGAAATATTTTACCCGAAAGCTGTTAGCTTAGATCTATTGCAAATGTGATGACATCTTACCTAAAAAAGCCACTTACAAAGTTTCATACAGAAGGAACATGGTGGAGGGACAGACTCATCTGGGTTAGTATTGGCTCTCACTTTACCTTCTTCAGATTCTTGTGGGCCCCGCTGTGGTTCCCCTGCGCCAGGTCTGCCCCACCCACGAGCTTGTAAGTTTCGGCTACCTCAAGACTGAAATAGCCAAATGCTTCCACTTTGGCTTCCAGGGACTCCTTCAGGATCAAGGTTGCTCTCTATGATCATAAAGAGACAAAAAGCTACCTGATTAAGAAGTCCAGCAGGAGTGATGGAGCACACCTGTAATCCCAGCACGTGGGAAGCTGAGCCAGGAAGATCACTGTGAGTTCCAACCCAGTCTGGGCTACATAGTGAATTCAAGGCCAGCCTGAACACATAGTGAGACTCTCCTCAAAAAACTGAAAAAAAACTTTTAAAGGCTGATCAAAGACCTGTGCCTCTTAAGGAAATTAGGTAACTGCTATACATTTTCACTTTTTGGAGAAGTGTCAGCTTTGGGCCCATGTGTAGGATGCTATCACACCTGGATTGATTGGCTTCAGCCTGGAAGGAGTGGGGAAGGCCTTTCCAGGAGGAAGTGAGAGTAGACTGTGGCCAGAAGTGGGAATTAGTAAAGGCCAGGAACATGGATCCAGTAGAGGAGGCAAAATGAGATGAGAATCTGGATGGGGAAGGTGTTTAGGGCCATAGAAGGACTCTGATTTATCTTAGAGGCATTGAGGGGCCACTGGGATATTTTACAAATGAATGTTCACTAATCAGATTTGCTTTCTGAAAAGGTCACCATGGCTTCCTTATTCTGAATAAATTAGAAAAGGGCAAACATGGAACAGGCAGCTGGGAGACAGGAGCTTGCTAGAGCAGTCCAGGCAAAAGATGGCAGCTGGTGGGAGGGGAGATAGAAAATGATGGATGGAATCAAGGTATACTTTGCTTGGACTTCGCTTGGAAATGACCGAGGAACTGAAAGGGGTGAGGCATGAGGGTGCAAATATCTCCCCATTCTTCTGACCTGCACTCCCCACAGGACTTCTAGCGATGGGGTTGGGGATGGAAAGCAGAAGCCCTTGGAAGGACCCTCTCTCCTTGGTTGTGTGATCCAGAAAAATAATGAAACTCCATTTGTTATGGTGAGGGCAGCCCTACTTTGGCCTGAGAAATATGGGTGCGTCCACATCAAAAGCCCATGTTTCTTAATTGAGAGCGGACTGGGAGAGATGAAGGATGAGGAAAGAGCTGCAGGGGCGGAGGTCTATAGACCACAAGAGGGAAATACAGTTTGACTTCCAAGATTTGCCATAAAGGGCTGAAAGAAAAAAACCAATTGAGCTATTCAGTGGCTTTCTGGAAGCTGTGAGGCTTTGCAGAGAATAAGTTCCCATGGGTTTAATTACCAATGAATACAAACTCTGGGTCTTGTTCCTTTTTTATAAGCCATGCAAAGCCTGTATGGATCACTGGCAAGAGGGTGAGCTGAAATTTCTGCACTGTGTAGTTTCATTAGATATGAAAATTCATTCATTACGCACAATGAGGGGAGACGAATTAGATGCACTGTCACATTCTATTCCAGACAGAGCTGCAAGGTGTGGTAAGCAGGGTTTTGCTCACTGGGTTCTCAAGATTTCTAGCTCTTTAGGAGCTTTTATAGGTGGACACATCATCTACATTCTCATAAATAGTTTTCCAGTTTCTAGGACCAAGCCCAAGGGGAGCCCCTCAGCCTTATTTATCAGAATCCCTCCAGAGGCTAGGACGGGCACTGCACATAGTAGGTGCTTAGCAGATGCTCACGGAGTGAAGGAATGGCCCTTTGAATATCAACTATTGCCCAAGTGAATAACTACACAATTGTATTCTGAATTCACTTACCTCTTTTTGTCCAGTGATTTGTAGAAAATGGCAGAATTCATCCTGTATTGCAAGAAATTTGGTGTTTCCTGCCCCTTCAGCATTCTTAAAATGAGCCATACTCTCTTGAAAATACTTCTCAGCCACATCTGAAGAAAAGCATCATAGCAACAATTGAAAACTGCACACAGATTTGAAATGGGAATGGAGTAACTATGCATTTAGTGGCAGCGAATTATTTGAAAATAATAAGTATTTGAACAAGGGAAACCAGTCAAGGAGACTGTTAATCTGCCTCTTTTTATCACTAAAGATTTAGGTCTCAGAAGAATATAATCAATTTGTTTTCCTTAATTTTTATACATTTAGCTTCCTGGTGATACGGAAAGCAAAGCTAAAGTAAAAGGAGAAACTATCCCCCAGACCTGATCATATTGTTAAGTTTTTATGAGGATCGATCATTTATTCATCTACTATCTCTGGTCACTCCTCACTGACATTAGGACTCCACAGGCCACTTACTTTAGTGAACTCTGACTGTAATCTTGTTACATATGTCTATAACATGAAGAATCTGGTTGACGTGCTGCTGAGGAAAGAAGCCCAATCTAAACCTGTAAACATACTGGCTATGATATGATGAAAATCTTTTTAAATACACAGCAGTCATGAAAGTAAGAAAAGGAAAAGCGTAGGTATGAAGAGGGAATGGAAAGCCAGAGCAGTGCATGTTAGTCAGCTTTCTGTTGGTGTAACAAATACTTGAGATGAATCTATTTTTAAACAGGAAATATTTATTTTGGTTCATAGTTTTGCAGGATTCGGGCCATCATCGATGGGTCCTGTTGCCTTTGGGCCTATGGTGAAGCAGCACTTGATGAGGGGAGTGTGTGAGAGAGCAAAGCTGCTCACCTCATGGCAAACAGGAAGTGAGAGAGAGAGATGGGCAGCGCTAGGGTCCCACTAGCCCTTTCAAGGGGATGGCCCAGGCCAGCTTCACCCACCAGTCCCCCATCGTAAAGCTTCTACTACCTCCCAGTGCACCACGGCTGCAACTCAAGCCTTTAACACACGGGCCTTTGGGGGACACTTAGCCAAGCTAGAGCAGAGGAGCAGAGGAAGCTGAATGCTCCATGAACATATTAGAAAAACGGTAATTTCTCTAAGTATAAGAGTTTTCAAAGCTTGAGCAGGACAGATGAAGCCTGAGGCCAGCTTTGTTAGGAAACTGAATGGAGCTCCATGCAAAAAGCCAGAATGGCCAACAGAATTCTGCCACAACACCAGTGACTCACCCTTGTACAGTTCCGTCCCCTTTGGTTATGGGTGGAATTTGTGAGTATGGCAAGAAGAGCTCTGGCAGGTGCTGAGGTTGTTGCAGAACACTGTTAACTTTGAAAGAGTCAACAGACCCTTGGGCCTAACTCAATCACGTGGACCCTTTAACAGCAGACTCTTCAGGGCCGGGGATTTAGCTCAGTGGCACTGTGCCTGCCTAGCAAGTGCAAGGTCCAGAGTTCAATCCCTAGTACTGGAAAAAAAAAAAGCAGAATCTTCTCCAGGTGGTGGCAGAAAAGGAAATCCAGGAGACTGGAAGCCTTAGGAGATGTGAAAAGGAGGTCCTGCACTATGGAGATGCAGCAGGCTATGATGGTATAAGGACCTGGAGAGCCAACATGAGCTGAGAGGGCTTCAGTCCTTCGCAGAACTGAAATCTTTGAATTACAGGAATGAGCTTAGCAAGGATCCCAAGTTCCACATGACAATGGAGCTGGCCAACAACTTGGTTTTAGCCAGCGCAAAGAAGCCAGCCTTACTGTGCCAGGTTTCTGACCTACAGAACTGTATGTTTAAACAACTGCACATTTTTATGCAGCAAAAGAAAACTAATACAGGTAGTGTTATGATCTGAATGCCATGTGCCCCTCTGATTCAGATCTTAAAATCCTAACCTTCAAGGTAGTAGTATTAGGAGGTGAGTCTTTCAGAGGGGATTAAATTCTAAGGGTGGAGCCATCATGAATAGGATTAGAACTCATAGGAAAAGGATCCCAGTGAGCTCCTTTTCCCCCTCTGTCCCATGAAAGGACAGCTGTCTACGGCCCAGTAAGCAGCCTGGCACCAGCTACCAGGTCTGCCAGCACCCTGATCCTAGGCACCCCAGCCTCCTGATCACCTAATCTATGACATTTGAAAATAGCAGCTTGAACAGACCAAAATAGCCAAGAGTCCCAAAAATAGGGAGATCAATTGCACGAGACTGAGGTAAGGCCTCAAGGGTGCCCACCAAGATGCCGTGGATAGAGGAAGAATACTCATAAAGGACTGGAACACTAAAATTATGAAAACTGTCCTTAAAATTAGAAGTTAACAGGGCCAGGGATTTAGCTCAGTGGTTTAGCCTCCTCCTGCGCAAGCGCGAGGACCCGAGTTCGAGTCCCGCTACGAAAAAAAAAAGTTAACATTTATTGAGCACCAACTATGTGTCAGTTTTCCTAACTGTGGCTATGGACTCCTTTCCATTCTGGGCTGAAAAATAGGTGCTCTGGCAGCACACAGAGACTCTGAGGGGACAGAAAGAGAATGAAACCAGACAGAATGGTCAAAAGACAAAGAAGTCTGGGAACATTTGCAGAAAAACAGCCCTGGACACCTCAAGATTCTTGGGACCATGCCTGAAATTCACCAGAGTCCTGAGTATTGAGAAACAACCCCAGGACATTCCATAGGATCTGCTGTAGATAGGAGAGAAGTGAACATGTGGGAAATCTGTTTACCAAATCTACTTAACGGAAACGAAACTTCCGTCTGTGTTCTCCTGTAAGGTTCAGTCCCGTGTGCACCTAGACAGAAGCAGGTATCCCGATGCTGCAAGGAATTTTCTCCTAGGGAGGGCTCCACCCCAGCGTCTGTAGCGAGACAGAAGTCAATTGAACTGGATTCCCTCGCTCGCATCCCTCAGACCAGCAGGTGGGTTTCTGCACAATCCTTCAAGTACTACTCCAATTCTGCCAAGTGGAAAATGCTTTCTCTTTTACTCGTAGCTGACTCATAGGCGAAAGCATTATAGATTTTTTGGGGGGGGGTACAGGGGATCAAACTCAGGACCTTGCACTTGCAAGGCAGGCGCAGTGCCACTGAGCTAAATCCCCAGCCTGAAAGCATTACAGATTTAAATGCTTGAACTAAGTATTACCTTTGGCCACTTTGATAAACTGGTGACAGTGAATGTTGAGGATGTGGTGTTTATTTGCTGACTCTAAAAGCATTACAAAGAGGAGTAAGTATTCCATGTCTAAAGTGACTACAGACATTCAGGAGTGGATACTCTTGATATGGCCGATTGAGAATTAACTAAAGAATGCAACCCAGCCTTTCTTTAAGAGTAAAGAACTTTCCACATCCCAGCCTCATGGCCGTGGAGATGAACTCTTACTGTGAAGGCAGCAGATAAAAAGGGCGTGGGGAGGAGCTGGGACTAAACACTCACCGAAGCTCAGACCCGGGAGCTGGCAGAAGTGGTGTTACCATGTGCAGGGGGTATGGGTGGAACCCAAAAAACCTGGAGGCTTTTCCCTCCCCTCCCTCTCCTGGGTCAGAAGCCAGTTTCCCCCCATAGGGGACACAGCTTCATGGAACAATTTTCTACCCTTTTTCTTTTGCAATGTTCTCCCGCCTCCCAGTGTTTCTTCCCCACTCCCATTGTCTTGGGCTGACTGACTGTCCCCCAAAGCAGGCCTGGACCTGAGCAAGGCATGCTCCTTTCCCTCAGTGCAGCTGAGCTCACCGGCCGAGGCACTGCAAGAAAGGAAGCTGCTGGGTTTAATTCAAACGAATGTGCAAATGGCTCCCAACCTCCGACTCAGAGAGACTGAGTCATAGTTTCCAGAGGTTGCTCGATAGTGCATATGAATCTCTGGACGAGGGAGTGGGAGTGAGGGAGGAAGGAAGGAATGTATCACTAAAGGAAGGCAGTGTAGCTCATGGAGGCGCTGTGGTGGGCAGCTGGAGATCAGCTCTGCTTGGCAATCTGCCCTCTAGGGGCTCCTCTAGGGCCTGCTCCTCAGGTCCTGCTTCCTTTCCTCCTTTCTCTGGTCCCCAGCTTCTCCAGAGTTCCATGCCTTTTCCATTTCTGTTCCTGGAAGTCCTCTAGTCAAAGGGGGTCAATGAGGCCAGGGAACACAATTTCCCTGACATGCAGGTGACCACACATTAGGCACCTGTAGACTCATGTGAGGACCCTCGTACATTAGGACAGCCTGGAGCATCAGAACAAAGGTAGGTCACAGTCTCTACCCACTGTTATCTTTATATGGGATACAGAAAACCCCCATCTGTTGTGAGACCTAGACTTATCACTCCTTCCCCTCCAGCTCCCCAAATTAATTTTATAAACTACACTCCAATGACCAGTATTTGAGGGGAGAGCCCACGGGGTCCCAGTTTCACAGCAAAGAAGTCATCTCTTGATAAGCAGACTTTGTTGTCCTGGGGGTGGGCATCCCAGGTCCATCTGGGTCAAGTGACAACAGGATTTCTAGAGAGACAGGAAGTCACAGCCATTAGGGTGAAAAGCCACCTTCTGACATGTCTCTGTGCCCTGAAGCTGGGTGTGGGTTCACAAAAGCCAGCAAGTGTCAGTGCTCTTGCACATGGCCATTCCTAACTCTAAAAGCAATTCTAGAATCCTCTGTAACCTCAGGCTGGTGGCCTGGCCAAAGATGAGGTCATTTTCTAAAACACAGGAGCATGACCCTGCCCTGTGCAGAGGTATTCCAAGGCCACGAATCTCTTCCCATTTTCACGCTAACAGAATGCGTAGCTTGTCTATGAGATGGGGAGGCATGTGGCTCCACGGTGCTTTGGTCTGCAGATGCTCTGTCGGGGGACTCAAAGCCATGTCCCTCCCAGACAGACTGTGCTTAGAGATATTCAAGCACAAGCAAAAGAAAACAAGGCTTCCTTCAAAGAGCTAGAGGTATGCAAGATTGCTAGGTGGCTAGCTGGAGGTCAGGCTTTTAATTAAATTTCAGTAACCAGGGGCTCATTTTCCTGAGGCTGTCCTGAGGCAAGAGTTGGAACAGCAAGGACAGCATTCATTATGAAGGAGTCCTCCTGTACAGTGTGACAGTTACCTTTTGTAACAGTCTTAGAAAACAATCTTTATAACTGCAAAGGCTTTTAGAACTCCAGGGAATTTGAAAATGAAAAGTCTTGAGAATTGTAGCCTAGCAGTCACCCCGCAAACAGACTGAACCTGTTTAGACTCTGTGTGGAGGGCGTACTGCTTGAGGCCACCCGCTCACTCCTGGGGGGTCACGGGAAGCCGGGCAACAAGAAGCCAGCGCACGCGGACTCTCCCCACACAGCAGACCCTCTTCGGGAGGGGCCTGTGACTGGCCTGTGACATGTGACGTGCTTCTGGGGCTGTGTGACATGAAGTCAGTGACTGGGGGTGTGTGGAGTGCGTCAGGAACGGGAGGGGAGAGGGCAGCAGGTCGACGGAGGCTCACAGGGTACAAAGGCCCCGAGATATGAAGGTGACCACCAAGAAGCTGGCTGGGCCTGTCCCCTCTCCACCTCCACCGAGGGTCCCCATCAGGGCCACCCGGGGAAGGGTTGGTCAGGCTTCCAGCAGCCTCAGGTCTGTGCTTCCGGACACTTGTCTTGATGAAGTCTGCATTTTCCAAAAGCTACCTTTAAAGCTTTCTTGAGGTCCAGGTAGGGCATAACCAACAGGCTTTTCTGAGTCCTGAACACAAATTACAAACCAGCAACAGAGTGGAAGACAGAAGCCCTGTGAAAGTGGCCATGGCAAGCAGCCGTGCACTCTGCCCTCCCTCCCTCAAGGCCTTGCTCCAGACTCAGGTGAGAAGGCAGATGGCAAGCCAGGCTGCTCTGGGGAAGAACGGCCAACAGCACAGGCCTGATGTGAGGGGCAGGCCCGTTTCTCCACTTCGGGCCCAGCGCCGCCTACTTGTGCAGCCCTCACCTGCTTGTCCTCAGGGGCTCCTTGGCTCTCTGGGCCTCTGGGGACTGAATCCACACAACCCACAGTACAGTGACGGCTGTTTCTGGAGTGTAGTCAGCATGCTGTATTTGGGCCTTGCTTCCCTCTGACTTGCCGAGTGACCTCCAGACTCCAGTCTTCTAGATGTGAGGACTATAAGATGACTTCCAGAAGTTTCTGAGAGAGAATCTCCTGAGAGGAGCCTTCTGTTTCCTTCCACTGGCCTCAGCCCTCCATATTTTACCTTTCCTTTCCCACTTCCCACTTTGCTCCCTGTGCTGCCCAGAGCAGGCATGGCCGTGCCCAGCTTCTTGTGGAGCTCCAAAGCTTCCAGGCTCGGGCTGGCTGGGCATTTTGTAGTAAGAAATAGGACCTGGTTTGGGGCTGAGGAAGGTTCTCAGAGCACACAGGGCTCAAAGGGGTGGGAAGGCTGAGAAGGAAGGAAGATGGTGAGGACCGAATGAGAAGGGAGACAGGGTGTGTGGGCCAGTGGTGGCTTCCTGCACTTTCCCCAGCAGGACTGTGCTGCAGGACTGTACCACAGGCCTAGGGTGAAGTCCGCAGAGTGAGGCAGCAGGGACAACTTGGAAGGCCACGGGAAGGTGAGGACACTACTGCCCCCAGTGCTCGTCATCTGCCAGGAGCCCACAGGATCCCGCTCCTGTGAATGCCAGGCTCTGCCTGACTTCCAGTCCGCCTGGGCCTGTGAGTCCCACACAGCCCAGAGAAGTATCAGTTACCCAGAGAGCAGGACCTGGGGTAGGGATGAGAAGGAGCCCAAGACAGGTCAGAATGAGAAGGCAAGACATAGGTGGAAGCTGAGAAAAGGGAGGAATTGGTAAAGTAAATAAAATGGGGAGGGGGAAATTATAGCTTCCGATACTTAACTTTCTCATGTCTACTGTAGAAAATAAGGGGAGAGGATCAGTTGGGGCCATGATAGATGTCATAGAGAATTGTAGGTAGAGAATTTACTTTGGACAGGGGACCCTGTCCCCCACCCCAAGTATGTTCTGTCTGCTCTCATTGGACCCAGCAGAACTCCCCAGCCCATGGAGCCTGGCTGCAGATGGGGCCACTTCCAAACAAGGCCACCTGCGCTTAGCAGGCTCTGCCTCCCCAAGGCTTAGACTGCAATGTACTTGGCATCTGGCCATTTCATTTTAACACCCTTTAGGAGAAGAGTTATAAACACAAGGCCAAGGCCCTGAGCACTTAGCCCAGTTGGGAGATCTGTTAATACCAAGTTTGTCTATGGCTTCTCAGGGAAGAGGGCCAGGATCAGGTTAGTGACATTAAAGGAGCCTGAATTGGGAATCTTTATCCAGCCACGATCCGCCCTGACTTCTAGGGCAGTTTCCTCTGCATGAGGAATGCAAGGAAGGCAAAGAGATTGGCTTGAGCATGGAGCCTGAAACACTTGCTACTTGGCTGGCAATGCTGCCTTTGTTGGAGCGCAATGCCTTCAATGGGCATTGAAGCAAGCAAGCAAGCAAGCCAGGGCCAGTGAATCTGACATGGGGAATCCTTCTCTCACCCACTCTTTTTTTTTTTTTTTTTAACAAAACTCAAAAGCATTGTTCTTTGTGCAGACGGGTTTAAACACAGGAAAGCAGAGCTCAGAATCTCCCCTTGACCCTTAGGAGAACATGCAAATTGGGATCTGGTCTGGACATCTAACCTACAAGTGTCCAAAATCCAGGGCAGTCCTGTGTGAGTGAGAGCTATTGAGGATTTAGTCTCCCCTTAATTGTTAGACAAAGGTAAGTTCCAAATTCTCCTCTTTAATTTTCCCTGCTGGAGGTAGCAGAGGCCTGGAGCCTTGGATAAGCTTCATTCCTGAGGGGACAGCAGAGACGACAGGAAAGAGAGGTGAATGGGCCACCAGGGCTCTTGCTGCAGCCCCTGGCTGTGTGGAGTCTGTTTCCTTCCAGGGAAGCTGATTGGCCCTGTGTTATCCAGACCACACCTGCTCTGCCCATGCTACACTTAGGCACTTTCAGGTAAGAGCAGGGACAAAACCTGGATGCTGATACACTGGCCTGGCTAGCTCATTTTTTAGCCTCCACACATTTGCCACTAACCTGCTGAGCATGACACTGGGTCCAGTGGACCCATCCCTTACTTTTCTACTGTAAATTTGTACTTGAGTGTAATAGTAGCCAGCTGTGCATTTCAGCACCTTTCCCTGAGGGATACAGGAAGCAACTGACCAATTACCCACTTGCTATGACAAATGGCAATGTGTGCATGCATGCAAAAGTGGCAAAATTGGATTTTTACCCGTGTTATGCCCTGACCAACTGGTTTTGCATATGTCTACTCAAGCATCACAGAGGGTCCAATAGACCCACACCACTCCAGGATCCGTTAAAAAAAATTTTCTTTTGATTTTTCTGGTAGGAGTAGCCTAAATCAGTGCAATGGCATATGAAAAACCAGATTTGCAAGTTTTGGAGGAGGTCAAAAGTGAATCATCATGTATGGATGATGAAAGTGATCCATTATGGTAAAAAACATGTTTTCATAACAGAAGAGTGGTGTAGGTGGATGATGATGGTGATGATGATGATGATGATGATGATGACGATGCCAACAATGACTTTGCATTGGCCACGTGAGCCAAATTCTTGTTGCAGTGAAATGGAGCAAAGATCGACTGATACAGACGCAGGGAATGCAGACCTCCTTGATTCAGGTGACAAAGAAAACACCAGTGTGAGCTTGACGAGTTGAAATGGTGCAAAATGGTCTTGCAACGAAATGGAACAATCCAATGTTAGAACTAGGTCCAAAAATATAGTGAGGGTCTTGGCCGGGGTGAAATGTATGTAGGACAGAATGCAGGCACTGATATTCATTGTTGGAAATTGTAACAGATGAAATATTACAAGATCCTGTGAAATACACAAAGGCTGCAATGCAGGTAAAATGTTCTGTTTGCACCAATAGGCATATTAAAAATGTATTTATTATGACACCTCATTACATATTTGATATTTTACGTTATTGATATTGTATTTCCCTGCTAAGGGCATATTGCACAAGATAGTGGGAAGCTCCTGAAAAAACAGGAGGAGAGGAGAAGTGACAAGAATGGCCAGGTACACAGGAAAGGAAAGCTAATTACATGTGCTGCCAGTGTAAGCGAGACGTGTATGGAACGTGCTGCTGTCATGTGTGCAGACTGCATTAGGTGCGATAACTGAAGTAAAGATTTTTTGGAAAGTGCTGTTGGGATTTCCACTGTAGTTCATATAGGAATTTGTGTTGTTCTCGTTTGGACTTTGTGCACCAAAAAACAGTTGATGTTGAAAATTTTGATGCTTTTTTGTAAATATTCAATAAATATTAAAAATTCAATACTTTATTTTTGTGATTTTTTTTCCTGTTGAGCACTCATTGTTTAATATCATAAAACTCATAAAATTAAAATTAATAATTTATCAGTAGAAATATTTGAACGAATGTGTCTTTTTGACAAAATCAGTATTATGCTCTGTGGGCTAAGGAATCAGATTCTGACAGCAGTGGGATCTCAACTAGGTACACATGGTAGGAACAGTGTGAAGTTTTTCCTTGCTTTTATCGGCCTCTGATTATTTTCCCACTCTGGTGATTCATTTGGGGGTGAGGGTTTGTGCTCCTTTCTGCACCTGCTCCCTGGCTTCATGTTGCTGCCAGTCAATCAGCTTCTAGTATTTCTATCCTGCTGCTTCTCAGCCCAAGCTCCTCATTTTACTCTCCCTGAAGGCTTTGGTAAACTTTCTCCCTAATGGCACGAAGGTGACAGGTGTGTTTCAGGTGTCTTCAGGTCAAGAGGTTAGTCTGAGAAGCGTCTGGGTAGGAGCAGCTTGCAAACTGGTCTGGACTTTGTCCTTTTGCGGTGGAGCAATGAGTAGGAAAAGAGGGGCTCCTCTAGATGGATGGAACGTTCCGGAAGGAAGAGCTGGCTATGTGATCTCCTTTGGGAGGAGATGTCTTGGGTCTGAGGGTCATTTAAAAGATTAAATGAGCCCTTTATAGAAAGTACTAGTGTCTGCATCCAAAAGGTGCTCAACTGCTGCTACTATGGTCATTGTTGTCATTGTCATTGTTGTTGTTATGATTCCCTAAGTCATCTGCTGCCTGAGTGGCCAAGTGATCCTCCTTCCTCCAGCGGAAGCCACCTCCACTCCTCACCTGTGAAGCCAACAGTCCCCACTTCTTCTCCCAGGACACAGTGTCTTCTTACCCTTCTACTTCTAACTTTACATTCCTCATACATTTCAATTCTGACTGCCCAGTGGGTCTTCTGGGTGCAGGTCCCCAAATGCCCTGAGTGGCAGCAGAGATGTAGGGCTGAGGGTGAAGCTGAGGCCCGCTCAGGCTCCTGGGCTGGGGGCCTTCCCAGTGGCTCTCCAAACCCTTCTCTCGGAGCTTCCTGGGCTCTTCCTGGGTCCCTCGTCTGCCCTAAACACCATGACCTAGAGCCTAAGTGCACAGGGGTAGGGCAGAAGAGGGCCCACATACAGGGCCAGTCCCTGTAAGCTAGCACAGCTAGGAGCAGCCTCTTGGTGACTGCCTGGGCCCGAGTCTCCCCTTAGTTGTCAGACAAAGACAAGTTCCAAATTGTCCCCTTTCATTTGCTTGGGCCCATGGCAAAATTACCTAATCTCTCGGTGCCTCAACTTCTCCATCTAAAGCTGAGGATAATTAGTACCTATCTCGGAACTGTTTCAGGATTTATGAGTCAACAAATGGAGCATGGCTTAAAACCAGGGCCGGTACATTTTGTGTTAGCATTAGTTATTATTACTGTGAGGTCATTTCATGTTCAGGAACATTATTTGTATCAAGTAGGTATTATTTTCACTCCCAAAGTTTCAGGATGGCAATACCAGGACCATATTTAGATTGGAAAGCTTAGAAAACATGTGCACAGTTCATAGTGGATGGTCACTGATTAGGTTAATCACCCAGAGCAGCGTGGCCTGACTCCACAGTTATGAAGTCAGTTATAAACATCTTAGGGCATGATTTCTGTTGGTCCTCACCCAAATCCTAGCCAATGAGTGGCTGCACCGAGCACTAGGCGAGGTGCTGGAAACCAGAGTGCCTCTACACAAAAAGATGATCCTTTGGCGTTCCCGCTCTATGTTTGGATTTCTCCCCAGAAGAGATTTTCCTCTCACACATCCCAACAGTTTAAATGCCTAAAACCCTCCACTTGTCTTAATCCCAAAACATGAACATATCTGATAATCATTCATTGCATTCCTACTGCCTAAGTCAGAAGTGATGGATCCAGCCCTCACACTCCTGACTCACTCAGAACCTTAAATATATTGGAGTTAACTAGCACCAATTAAAAATTGGCAATTTCCAATGAAAATCCAGATTCCTGCCTTCTCTTGAGAAAAACATCTGCTAATATAAGCCTGTCTGCCACATGGAGCAATGGACCGGGGCGAATAGCATGGTAAGGGTCAAGTTTGCCATCGTCCTCACCTCTCCACAGCATCTCTCTCATTCTACAGCCTATTGTTAGCTGCCCTTTCTCAATGCACTTTCTAAGTGCTGCTCCTGCTTTCTAATAACCACCTGCCTTGTGCCCATCGCTGGCTTGGTCCCTATAGACATTTGGATTTGTTTCTCCTGCTATTCTGGGGTTTCCATCAACACGTATTTGCATTTTAGGTGTCTTATTAAGAATGCTGTGGAGTGGACATTTCCCTGACTAAAGGAATTTAAGCTGATCATAATGCTGGTTCTTGTTGGCTCTGAAGGTGAATTTCACTGTTATATGTGAAATGTTCCAGGGAGGGAGGACCAGATAAGTCACCTGTCTCCTCTCTCCATCCCCACCCAGGTTCCTCCAGATCTGAAGAGGTGCTCCAAACTCTAAGAGACTAGAACAAGGCATCTAAGGTGGAAAGGACAGGAGGATGAACGTGGGACCCCTGGCATCAGCTCCTCCATGGCCCGGAGTCCCTGCCAGGCCCACGGATCTATTCCAGTTGGGCTGCTCAGGGAGGCCTCCCTTTCACCTTCTTCCAAGTGTAGCCTCCTCGCTTAACTCTTGCTTTCCAAATCAGCCCCAAGCCTTCCACACATTGATTTTTATGCTTTCGGGCACACTGGACCTTATTTTACTTGGTATGTAATTATTTTTATCTACTATCTTGGAATATGTCCCTAGGTCTTTGTGAGTTATATTCCATTTCTGAATATTCTGATCCAAACAACAACAAAAATCACTAGAATGTGTGTTTCCTGTCAGCAGAGACACATCATGTACTCTGGACTTGGGATGGTGGGGTAAAGAATTCCCAAAGCCTGGGGTTCTACCTAATAGGCAGGAACGAGAAAAACCACTCAAGCCGTTAAGTGGCAACTTCCTTTAGGTGTCCTGAAGCCATATAAGTGTATCCTGATCGAAAGCTCAGGCCTGAGAGAGTCTGGAGGTCAGGGCTGTTGCTGCAGTAGCTCCACAACAATCTTTAAACATAGTCACCTTTGAAAGCAGAGATTTCCCTGTGAGCCCAGTGCAGATCGCTGTAGCTATGTTTGGATGGACAGTAGTTGTACTGAAGCAGAAAAGGGTACAGTGAGATCCCGGAGAACAGTGACGGCTCCCCGGAGGGCTGAGGCTCAGCTCCATCCACCCATTCACCCACCCCAAGGCGCACACTGCAGGACAAGAGCGAGGCTCACCATGGTGCTCCGGCCTCCTGGAAGCGACAGCAGCACGGGCAACAAGTTGTGCAGAGTCCGCTGCCTCCTCTTGAGAGGGGCTTCTCCCCAGGATGATGACATGAGCCTGTCACCACAGAAAGAAGAAACAAGTTGTTTATAATGCTTGCCAGCAGCAACAGGGAATTAACTGTCATTCCAATGATAAGAAGAAGGCCAAGGAACTTTCCAACATGCCGGAAGAAACAATGGGAGTTTCTTGTGGGAGTGTGCAATGGGTTCCAGGAAGGGCTGGGTTTTAAAAGCACTGAGTGCCGGAGAGGATGCTGCAGAGTGAATCCACTTGGCTCTGCGCTATGGCTGGCGCCTGTCACTAGGTAAAGCATCTAAGAGTGTATGGTCATTTTAGTCAGCAAAGGGATGGCAGTGGGCAAATTTCAGGAAGTGAAGAGCATCAATGGTGAGCAGAGAAGTGGGTGAGCCCAGCTCCTGGCCTGCTGCCCAGCCCCCAACCTGCAGAGGTCAGCAGCCTCACCCATGGCAGTAGGGATCCCCTGTGCTGATCTGCCAGGGTCATTAGCTTGCAGCCTTGGAAACCGAGCTCCTTAGAAATAAAGCCCATGTAAAAATATTTTAACAAAAAACTATGATCCTATGAACACAGAACAATAATCATTTCAAATAAAATGTTAACCGCATCCCTCCAAATAAAGAGATAGTTACTTTTCATCTCCCTGACAATATTTAGAGCTTGAAAAATACTGTCAGTAATACACTTATATCCAACCTGACATGTCATGATGCGTCGCCTCACCACAAGCCCAGAAGCAGCAGGCCCACCCACCCCATCATGGGCCAAAATGTGCAACACCTTGACCCAAAGTCAACCTTTTCTCTTTTTAACTTGATTCACCTCAGGCATTTGAGACCATGATGGAATGCTGAGCAGCAAAGTGAGCAGCCAGGATTTCTCTCAGCCAATAAGGGATGGGCAATGCTCCGGCCTTGATACTCTTGACCTCAAATTCCACCCTTTGTGCCACGTCTTGAATGCTGCCATCCCCTTACCACTAGCCTATGATGGGAGACCTCACTAATTGATGCCAGCACATTCCCAGAGGCACCTTGATTTGGCCACCAGGAGCTACAACCGATCCCCGGAGCTGGCATAAGAGATAAAGCCATCCCCGTCGGTCTGCACCAAGCCTGCACATTGTAGTCTGCGCTGAGCAGCACCTGCTCCTCTGAAGGCCAACTGCATGCATTTCTGAAACTGCAATCAGAGTGGTGGCTCACTCTCTGACTCTAGGAGGTCACCTCATTTGTCACATGATAAAATCTGAGCTATTCACTTAGACTTTCTGAGGTAGGGGCTTCTCCAAATCAAGATCTCGGGCAATAACTTTTATGGCTGTGTTAGGACAGTCAGAATTCTTATTCATAAATGCTAACAATATCCTTTGCTTTTTCGTAACTGGCTAGGGAGAACTAAGTGATGCGGGCACTCCTAAATTAGACACTGCCCTTGCTGTGGGATGAAAGGTCCGATCTGAAACTCTGACTTGAAGTCATTTTCAGATAAGAGGCACTGTAAAATGCAAGGTCACGTGTGTACAAAGTACAAGAGAAAGGGATGGAGTCAAAATATCCCAGGTTCTGTGTCTGGGGAAAAGAAAAAGGAGCAGATGCAAACTGAGTCCTGTCCACCTTGCGTCTCCCCTGGGCTATTTATCTCTGCAACCCATTCTTTGAGGAGAATAATCACTGTGTGTTGCCAGGGAGGGTTCCCTGAGACTGCGGCAGAGGCTCAACGCAGGCTGTTTTAGATTAAAACTCAGATTCGAAGAAGACTTTCTCTTTCACTTCTATTCAGTATTAGAGTTCAAGGAAACGTCATGGCTACGTGTCTATCACAGTTATTTTCAAGTGAATAATTCCATGTTCAGAAAGGATCGCAAGTGGCCTTTTGCCTTGGAGACAGAAAGTGATCCTTTTGCATCAGGGGGAAAACAGCTCACGATACCAAGAAAGTGGGTCCTGAAAGCTGAAGGTGATCTCAATTTACCACCAAATTTTCATCACCTCAACATTTTTTGATGTGAGATGCAAATACTGCATAAGCAAACCTTTATTATTCATTATTCAGTGTTCTTTCCAGAAACTCAACCCCTGGTGTGATTTCTTAGCTGATGTTCATGGAGCTTTTAGAAACTGTATGCTGGGGTTAGAGGGGGAGGAGGACACCCAGGATGTTTAAAATGTGCCAAATTAGCATCTCATTTATTCAGTAAAATTCTATTCCATTCAGTGTAATTTAATTCATTCCCATTTGATCCAACGTATTTTAATTTTTAAATGCTTTTTAAATGCCAGATATTGTGTCAACACTAGGAATTCACACACACACACACACACACACACACAAATCAGTCAGAAATTTCAGTTTTAAAGGAGATCACAGATGGACTACGAAAATGTGGGATGATTTCATTTCATGTGGACATACAGACACCGCCCCTCACTCTGTTTTAGTGCTCACCAGTACCCTCCTCCTGTTATCATTTCCAGGGATTTTGGTGTCCATAACAATGACTTGTACCTAGCAGGCAAAGAAAAGGGTGGTCCAGCTGTACAGCTAAAGGATGAAAAAGGGTCAATAAAATGACAATTTGTACCTAGTGATGAGCGTGCAGAACCCCTTTTTAAGCAAGGAGCACTGGCTATAAGTGGAAAGATGAGTTAGCCAGGTGTGTAGTGCACACCTGTAATCCCAGCACTCTGGAAGGCTGACTGAAGGCAGGAGGATCAAAATTTCAAGCCCAGCCTGGGCAACTTAGCAACTTAGCAAGACCTTGTCTCAAAATAAAAAAATAAAAAACCTTGTGATGTAGCTCAGTGTGAAGGCTCTGGATTTGACCCCCACCCCCCACCCCGCCACACACACGGAAAGAAAATAAATTGTGGGGAGAGAGCAGCAGCTTTTGGTATGGGGATGCCACCCAGGTGCAGTGACCTCACAGGGAGGAGCTAGCGAATGAACACCCGTCTCTCTCCCTGCCTACAGACCAGGCTGCGTGGCTCTCTGGCAGAGGACAAGGACACTGATCTGGTACTCGAAGGTCAGTCTCACGCAGAGCACAGCTGCAGGAGCGAACTGCAGTATCCACAGATGCCAAGCCAACTCCTCGGCCTCCCAGGCTTGCGACAGACTCATTGTCCCCTCCACGCTCAGCTGCCCAGTGTCCTGGTCACACTCCTGGGCTCACCACTCATCACTCACTACTGCCCCTGGGTCCTGCAGCTCACAGACACTACCGGCTCTCTTACATCCATGTGGCTTCTGGTCCTCCACTCCACTGCCTCCCACGCTCTCATGAGCCATCCACCCCTCCTGCTCTTCCATCCCTTCTCGTCCAGCTTAGAGTCACTGTCCATCATCTGCATCAAAAACACCCTTCTTTCAACCGAGATCACCGGTGACAGGGCAACCATCCAAGTAACCGCCAGTGGGGTGGGCACATATTTGTAGGTTATTCATTCACACAGCAACTTGACTTTTTCTATACATTTTAACCTGATTACAATTTTTTAAAATGCCATTGAGCGGACAAGAACAATTTGCAAATGGATGCAGACACCACTGTGGCGCTACTGATACTGATCATCAAGTTTCTTTTTTTGAAGCAGAAGGACCTTCTTTTTCCCAAACAAAATCTTCCTTGGTTCTCTAGTGGAAACAGCAAGTATCAGTGGGGCTTTTCCCACCACAGCAGGTTCAGAGGCCTAGAGCCCACCTGCTGCTTCCCCTAGCTGCCCCGGAATAAGCTCCATGGAACAGGAGGGCTCCAGGTGACGGATGAGAGCCACTGCACCACACTGAGCCTCCTTAGGGAGCGAGCATGAAGGGTGTCGACAAAGCTGGTGAGGAGATTGCACCATCTTGCCGAACTCAGCCACTGTTCAGTTTTGGAACAATTCTTCGCTTCCTAAGAAAATGCAAATACCCCTGTTACGTGCATCTGAGGGCATTTACGGACTAAGAATCACAGTGAACAGAATTACAAGAGGCCTGTTTGCCTCTCCTGGCTTTCTGCAGGAGCCCAAATAATGGGCCCCCGTGGGGGAATCCTGCAGCCGGGCCACACTCACTCCTCCACCTCATGTTTTATTAATCTCCCTGGGGCTTGGGTTCCCCTCATGCCCTTTGTTATTTTCACTATCTTATGCTTATACACTAATCAACAGTCATCTTGAAGTCAAGGAAGAATGTTTAATGTCTCCAAATCTTTTGGGCTGCCAGCCATGTTGGACTTCATTAAAACAAACAAACAAACAAACAAACAAAAATTGCTAATATTGCCACACAGAACAGGGTCATTAATTGAAAAATCTCATTTATAAAACCTCAAGCCCAGCCAAGTTACAGAGCAGCTGTTCCATTCTGGTGCCTCGGGTGCATTTCTGAGGGAAACCACTGATTCCTCGGTGCCAATCCAGCTGTCAGTGGTTACAGCCAGAACCAGAGCTGGCAGACTCTTATCTAACTGGGCCTGTCTCCTTGCATTTGTCAAATGTGCACTATGTCTTGAGAAGAAAGCTTGATGACTAGCAAAAAGGATGAAAGAACATTCCTATTTGTGCAGGCAGAGCCCACCATATGCACACAAAACCCTGGAAGGGGTCTGAGGGTGGGGCCCGGCTCTTGGAGAACAAGGAGTTAGGGGGAGGATAGATCCCCCACCACCACCTTGAAATGATTACAGAATCACCACGGTTAAGAGATCACCGACTCAAGTGGAAAAGCTCTACTGTACCCAAGTGGACAATACATACCCAAGTAGCCCGAGGTATGTTTGTGGACTTACAACCAGGTACATTTACCCTGCAGATGAAAACACTCATTGGGAGGAAACAGAAGTCTCAATTTAGTAATAAGTAGGCAGGGTCTCTGGGTAAAGCTGAAAGGTAACACTGGGGGGCGTCGGGAAGGAAGGGGACCAGTGACCTTTGAGAGTGATGGGCACTCCACATACGGATGGGGAAACGAAGCCTCAAAGTCAATGGGAGCTTGGCAGGAGAACACAGATCCAAAGGCCTGTAAGTCCAAACTGCATGGTCTTCTAGTCT